TGCTGTGATGCAGATGCTGATCAGGACTAGTCTATAGCAGATGGGTGCCATGTTGAGGTCTGTGGAAATGGAGAAGAAACTGTGCAGAAAGTTAGCAACGGCCTCAAGGATCATCGGGAACATCAAACTTCGTCCTTTCTTCCATATGATTATATATTCATGGACTGTGAGGTAAGAACTAGCATCTCCCGCTCTCTGGACAAAAAATTCCCCTTTCATGTCCTACTTATCAATTATTCATTTCATTATTAATCACATATATATTATGTTTAACAGATGTCAGTAATGGATGGGTTTGAAGCAGCTAGGAAAATCAGGAAGGAGGAAAAAGGTTATGGTGTTCATATTCCAATCATTGCATTAACTGCTCATACATCAGATGAACCAGGGCAAAAGCTACGCGAGGCTGGGATGGACCTTCATCTTCGCAAACCGCCAGTGAAGGGAGTATAGTTGAAGCCATCAAAAACCTTGACAGTAAATAAACATCTGTGTATATGTCTCCGTTGTGCTGTCTTTCTTAATATGGCTATAGAGAAATATATTTGACCTCCTGAAGTAACTTAGCAAAAGAAATATATGTGAAAAAAATAGTGTAAAGTGCTGAAATATATAGTGATTATCTGAATTAATTCAGTATCGTAATAAAATAAGAAATCAACTTTTCTTATCAACACTAGTGAGTTACAATTTACTGATTCCCTCAATTAAAGGCCTAAGTAACAAGAATAACAACAAATGAAATCACTTCTTGGTGGTAAGAGGAGAACGTTTACCAATTACGTACGTTGTATTAACCAAAATGGGAAGGAGATGTAAGAATGTCTCATACTTCAATAACTTCTGGTTTTTCGTGTTAATCAACTTAGTTTCTTGGATTTTTATTATTAAGTCATTCTCTTTACCTTACGAAAGATTTAGAAAACCTTATTAATATATTGGTAGATATGTAAATATTTTGTATACATAAGATTTACTCCCTTGATGGAAGATGAAGTCCACAACAACAAGCCAATTGATATTTGATTTATCAAATTCCGGTCCACATAAAACATATAACTTTCGTTTCAGTAATGATAAATTGAATCCATCAATTCCAGAAACTAACAAATCCAATGTTGAAAACAAATTTGAACCTTAACATGCACAATTGGTAAAAAATTTATCAACCGCCCTTACCATAAGATAGTCGTACTTGAATACAACCAGCACAGCTAACATTCAATTTGAATCCCAGTTCACCTTGCCAAGCATAAAAACCATTTGTTTCCTCTAGTAGAAATAAAGAAAAAGCAAACCAGCAAAGTGTACATAATTCTTACTGAAAAACAAGAAGTGCAGAGCTCCAAAAACTGATCTATCTCGAATATCTGCAAAGAAGTATATCCTTAAAATTAGTTTGCAACTTATTTTGCATTAATTCTTATCATAACAAATAATTTAACAATATTTCACTGGTAAAGCTTCTGCAAAAATAGAGAGGAAATATAGGACTGCGTATAAACATATTCAAGACTTGACACATTTTCCTAACTAAAAGAATATTTGAGTCTGAATCTAAAAAGAAAAACATACCAAGTTAATTTAGTTTTCTTTGACTTCACCTGAGGCTTCTCTTGGACTTCCTCATCTTCTGAAGAACTTTCAACTAACTCGTCAGGCACATTGTTTGGAATGTTATACTTGGTGATAAAATCCTTGAGTATGCTCATGGTTTTCTCTTTCATTGAAATTAATTGCTCAGAGATATGGTCTCCATTCCCCTTTACAGAATATTTTTCCGATCCAAGTTGAAGTGTGACTTTAACCCGAGGGTTAGTAGGGATAACCTCATGAGTCTGAGCCTCCATGATAACCTTGCAAGCTCCAGATTTTTGCTATAGCAACAATTAGTATCTAGTGTCTAACACTACAACTGTAACTAACCCCCAAAATAAATTTTAAATTAGATGTTTTTCTCAGTCAACATGTCAGAGACGAAATCAGACGCCACAAAATTTACTGATTTGATTTTAGAAGTTCCCGGTTCAGAGAAAATATGAAGTAAGAAGGTCTAAGACCTACCATATAATACAATCTATTAAATAATTTGCATAAAAAAATAAAATTCCATCTAAGTTGCAAGTATATAGTTTGATCATTCATTTATTCACCAATTAAGGTGTCTACAAACCATGGGAGGGAAATTGAAGGTTCATCAAAAGAAAAAAATAGAACAGAAACAAAAAAAAGGATATGAAGTAAAATAAATAAAAGTGAATGCCTTATTGTTACATCATGCACATTTTTTATGTTTTCTTTTTCAGATTTTAACTTTTGTTTCTCGTTTCTACTTCTTCATTACCATTTCCAAGTCGTTCCCAAGTTCAAGTATTCCAGCAACTTAAATGACTCAACTTAATTCATGAATACTTATTTGCATCAGATATTCCAAAACCATGATTTAAATAACATACTAAACACTGAGCGGGCAAAAATCAGAAATATAAGGAACAGAAAAAGTCATGATCCAAGTTGAATTCACGTGAGTCAGAAGCACAAAAGAAACATTGATAAAGGAAAAAGATAGTAATCGAAGAATGATGATACACACGAGAGAGAAGAACAAAAGAATAATACCCGAAGTAAACAGAACCAGTAGAATAATCAATTCCTAAATTAGGGTCTAAATTTAAACTACAAATTAACCATACTCAAAAATAGAAATCCAACTCAATATTAGAGATTTATGCTGAGCAGTAATGCCCAAAACAAATTTAAGTGATTCCCACAATCATTTCACCTCTGTCGGTCACAAAGAAATCCATATTTCAGTTCATAAACCAGAGCAAACGCGTATATGTAATGACTTATTTGACCGATTTAGACAAACAATTTCATGACTGTTTTCTTAGTTCGTAAATCCTTATACATAAAGACATCAACGAATATTCATCATTGCCATAATATTTTAAATAAAGCACGCATATTTCGATACGAAAGTGTATTACAGACCCAAATATTTTTATAAAAAAAAGCATACCTTACATTGAACTTAGACACTCCAGTTTCTTCACCCCACTGACCTCTTAGAACACTCGAAGAAAGAACCCTAAAACTATTTCTTCCTCCAAGCGCTGATTTAGTACTCCGCGGCCTCACATTCTTCACGTGTACCGTTCATCATCTTCACACAGTTCTCTTTTTCTTTTGCTTTCAAAGCTTGAAGAGGAGACGACGCCGTTTCTTTTTCCCCCTTCTGGAGCTGCATTGGGCTTTGGTGTAGCCCATAGTAAAAAATAAACTGGACTATTTCTAGTTATTTTATTATAAAAAATACATGTCACATTGAAGAAAATACTTTTTCCCCATACATATACACTCTCTTATATACAAAAATTTTGGGCTAATTATTATTTTAATTCTAAATTATAATTTCATTTTTCATTTATAAACTAATAATGTAACGACCCCGAAAATTAAAAAAGAAATGTATATGTAAATTTTGAGTGCGGAAGCGAAATAAAAAGTTCTGATTAATATTCCTTACACAATAACCGAAACGTACTAACAATATGAAAGAATAAGTTAACTAAAGAAAATACTAAAAATGAAATACTATAAGGAAAACTATAAAATATTTAGGCATCTACTCTCCGTCTTCCTGCGGAATGGGTTCGGGAACCAAGTTCTCCTGATCTGAAATAGTTAAGTAAGGAATGAGCTACACTATCCCAATAAAGACATCACACTATATCACTATCACAGAAGTAAAGGTTGATAGAAAAACAAAAACGACTAATGGAGCACAATTTTTAATAAATTCATTAATCAATAATAAAACCCTTTACTGTCCACTTACCTCGGTGAGATTTATGAAAACGACTCATAGAAACAATAACATCAAAATATCATGAATTCATACATACTCTGTAACATAGCACATGTCATACTTTTATTTTTCAATCATCAAACAACAATTTCCCTCTTTTATCAGTCTACCAGTATCCATGGGGATCCATAGAGGTCACCGCTACACGTGAACCATTAACTTAAACAACTTAATTCCAGGGCCATCCTCATACCCCGTTCGGTATGGGCACCAAAATATTTAAAGTCTTCATACCCCGTCTGGTATGAGACAACGTTCCCGGTAGGGTTCCCTATGGACCCGGTCCGTCCACCATCTTCCAGGATATCTAGTGAGGTTGTCAACTTATCCATTTATCAATTCACATACCCTTTTTCATTCTTTTCTTAGTTTTCTATTTCTCACATAAACGTGAATACTTACACAAGTAACGTGCATTCAACGAGGCAAGCATACATTAAATCCACGAAACTAAGCAGCAGTAAAGTAAACAGTGATTCATGCATCCGAAATAATAGAATAAATAAGCTACATACCGTAACGCATTTAAAACTGTAAAATAAATAAAACAGGAACTGACTGAAAAATGTATCAGATTCGGGTTCCATTAGCAACCTTAATTAATCACGTATATCTATATAATTCATAAAATACAGTTTTATCATTCAATTGAACTTTAATTCCCCGATAGAAAATACGGTGAGGGATCCTTACTTGATTCGAAATCTAAAATCGGTTTTTCACTACACCTACGGGCAGTCCCTAGATTTCCTGAATTTTTTTTTTTCGGGAATTGAAATGCACTTACGATACCTGCACATGTCCCCAAATAACTCAAAATCAGACCCAGGGCCTGCTCGACCAATTTTGAAATTCTGGCACGGCGGCTCCGCTGTGCTCCGACGATGGCACCAACGCTTGCGGTGGCGATCCGCCTCGGGTTGGCCGTTTTTGGCCGAATTCGGCCAAACTTGCATTGGTTCCTGTGGTAAAATACCTCTAGGGCCCTCGGTGGGCCGAAAAAATACTAAAAATCGAGACTTACCGGCGGTGGGACTCTCCGATGCGGCAACTCCTCCAGCTCGAGTCGCAATTTGGTTAACCTGTAGAGGAAGGAACGGTGGTCACAATGGTGTAAAAATTACATCGAACGGGAATCGGGAAGGGTCTCATCGGAGGCAAAAATTAAAAAAATTCGCGGCGATGCCGCTGGACTTTGGCGGTATTTTTCGGCCAATTGGCCGGTGTTTTAGCTCCGATTTGGCCACATGTGGGTTTAGAATCGAAATCCGAGCCAAGGAGAGAATTTTTACCTCGTTTGGCGACCGGAAGGTGCTCCGATGCGGCGGCGGGTGGCGGCAGTCGGTCCTCTGGTGGCTGGGCTGTCTTCTCCGGCGAGGGCTCTGGCGGCTAGGGTTAAGGTTTGGGTGTGGATGAGATTATTTATTACCTTCCGCTTTTAATTTGAGCTGTCCATCGCGATTTAATTTAGACCGTCCGATTGCGATTAAATAGGAAATAAATATGAACTGTTCATCGTGATGCAATCTGGGTCGTCCGTACGCACTCCTGATCTGGGTCATTCGTGCGCGCGGGAATGAATCTCAGCCGCTCGATCGCCCACACGCGGATCGCCCACGTGGCTCCCTTCCGCGTGGCCTCCCGCGTCAGCGTCTATGTCACGCGGCGTGTCCTGGTTGGCTGGGGCTGGTGACGCGGCGTAATTTTTTTAAATTATGTTTTGACCCCCAGTTTTCGATTTTCTTTTCAAAAACACCCCTATAACCCAAAATTTCACCCCTTTCTCCCAAAATTATTTTCAATTAAATCCCAAAAATAATTTTATCCCTTATTATTATTATTATTATTTTTATTTCTCTTTAATTAAATTAAACTAAATTAAAACCATATTTTATTACATAATAAATCATTATATTCATCTAAAAATTACAAAAAAAAATTAAAATAATATTAATAAAAATAATAATAATTTTGGGTGTTACAAATAATATATTTCATTCTGGATCAAGAGTCAAAATTATCATCAGTCTTTAAATTAAAATCTTCTATTAATAATTTTAACATATATGTACTAATATTTTTTATTTTTTATTTTTGAAAAAATAAATATATGTTAAGGCCTGATTAGAATAAATAATAATTAAATAATTGAAGATCATAACACTAATAATCAGTTGTCAATTTTTATTATAGAAATATCAGTTTATTCAAATAAATCCAAATCAAACCATCACCATTCGCTTTTAAAAACTTTGCTAAGAGTTTTCAGCATAAGAAAAACCATTAATTCAAATAAATTACTAGTTTTCTTATTTCTCCTTTCTTCTCCTTCCCCTTCATTTTTCTCTACCAAAAGGAAATGGGAAAGCGCAAACCAGTCACTTTAATACCAATGCCATAAATTATGGCCCAAGAATGCGGAATATTTGTACATTATGCTGATGATATTGTAACATTTTCTCTTATATCTTATCAATTTGCCTAAAATATTATATTTTACAAAATTGTATAGATTGGTTGAAAGAATCATATTTTGTACATTTGTTATTTCAACTTTATAAGTGACAACTTTAAAAAATAATTTCAATAGATAATCT